GGGTCAAAAGTTGAGTGGAATTCTCCGGCGCTTTTCACGGGTTGTTTAGCCAGCGAGCTAGCGAGCGGCGCCGGGGTCAAAAGGTGAGCGGAATTCCCCCGAGATTTTTGGGTCGATGTACTACCCAAGCGTTTTGATCAAAAACTGGGGGTTCACGTCATTCCAGGATTTTCCCATTTTTTCCCACCAAAAATGTTTCGACGATTTTTTGGGTCGATGTACTACCCAAGGGTTTTGAGCAAAAACCGGGCAAAAAGGGGCGTGTGGTCCAGAACTCTCACTTCTCTACTACTCGGGGACCGAGAATACTGTACGTTTCGTATTAAGAATTGAAGCCGACACATACAGCCTCGTTTTCAAACACGGAAGTGCGCAGATCGACGCTAAAAGTATCGTATTGGGACCCCTCTAAAGTGTATCACGTGGGGCCTCTTCGCAGCCATACGATCTTTGGTCTGGACACGTCTACATGTCTGAACTCTTTCACAGTATTATGTGAATGACAGGCCATATTCCCCGTTTTTTCGGGGGGAGGGACGTTTTCTTCGCTCACGTAAAATGACAGCGGAAAGTTGAATCAGGAATCCAACACTTGTAACATGTTATGTTGTGGATCTGATCAGTGCTTTAGTTCTTCAGATACATTGCCCCGTGAAGAGAGCCTCTTTGCAGAAAATGTCTTAATTCTCTATAAAGATGCAGTTGAAAAGTGGGCAGTGTTCCTGTCATTTTAAATTCATTTTTAACGTGGGCTTTAATTTGTCGGATTTTTAGTTGTGTTAAATGTTAAGGGCGGGAACACATCAGTGCGCGTCTTCCCATTAAAACTTGCATTTCTCATCAGTCACGCTTTTGTACAGTCCAATGTTACATTGAGGCTTTCTTCTCGTGATAGCATCACTGTTGTGCTCATGAATATGGATTATATTCGTTAGCATGAAAGCAAAAAGGCAATGAAACATAATTTTAAAATAGTGAAACAAAAGTTTAAAGTAAGGTTCACTGAGACAGGAATGTGCCCTTTGAAGGTTTACATGAAAACAAATTGATTGTAGATATTATTGAAATAAAAAGTGGCAAATTCAGATTGTCAAAATGTAACTTGATGCAAGATAGGTTGTCAAATTTTGTTTATAAATCACATAATCACCTCATCGTTTATGCCATTTCACATATGCCCGTTTGAGTACAAGTCAGTGTTGGAGCAAAGGTTTTGATTCTCAAGGCCGAGACTTCGACCCGTAAGCCATAAATGAGAAAATGATCAAAATCGCACCCCTGTAACGTTTTCAATGGCCCGCTCACACTTCTTGCCGCCAAGGCCAATTGTGCACATGCGTGCATAATTATTATGTATTTTCAGTGAAAACGTCTACTAGGTCTAGCTGGCTGTGTAGTACACACAGTGTGTACTGCATGTCTCAGTGCTCGCCAAACTGCGCAGTTGTGCAGAACGTTTTTGTTTACTGGTACATAGGCGGAACTTACGCACAAAGACAGATCCAGAACCGCATAAGTCCGGCGTCATCGATCTTCAAGTTGGAGGCCCGACATTTTGAGCATTTTGTTCCGTGACCTTTTGTGATGGCTTTTGTAAGGGGGGGGGGAGTTGAGTTTTTACACTGTTCGCGTTTCAGAAGATTTATCGGATCAGTGGTAGTTATTGTTTTTTTTCCATTTTGGCAAATGAAAAGGCGTTTGAAGTAACCAATAAAGCGATTCGTTTCCAGATCAGGAGCAGGAAGTGGTTGATGCAGTATAACTTTAATTTGAACCGTAAGCCTAACATGAGCTTATTGTCTCCCCCATTCAGTGTAGCACGTCTCTCAGTGATCTTTAACCCCACCTCTCTCTTTCTGTAAAGGTGAACCTGGTTGTCTTGGTGAAAGGTAAACTTTCATGGTCGCTGTTTGTGGTCGCTCTGTTTATGGGAGTCTATGATAGTCTGACAGTAACAGTCATCTTTACAGTAAATTTCAAACAGAATCTCATTGACATCAAGTGCGATTACTAATTTTGGTCTTTTTTTTTCTTAAAAAGAATCTCGCTCACTAACTACCTACTCATGAAGCTCGTGATTCGAGACTTGTGGTTCCTTCTAGTTTTTTGCCTGGCAAGCCAAAGCTTGGCATTTCTACCGAGCAGGGCTGGCGTTACCCTACCAGACACCGACTACACTCTTACCGAAATCACGGAGCAGGGCATTGTGCGCGCCGTAGCCAAGTACTTCGAAGAGACCAACCCTGATCGGTACAGTCCTGGCGACCTTACGGGACTCAGTCCTCTCACTCCCTCGCGACTGTTTCGAAAACATTATGGAGGTAAGGCAGATATGAAGAAAAATGAACAGTCACAAACACTAGGTGATAGGGTGGCGTTGTTGATTTGTTGACAGTCAAAGAGCTTTGGTTCAGGAGTTTTTTGTACAGTGTAGCATCTGTAATTAACTGAATCCTAGGCCCTACGCTCTAAATGCAAGAGTGAACAACTCTTTTATATGGTCACCCAAAAAAGGTGAAAATCACTGCAAAGAGTAAGAAAAAAGAAGTGAAAACCACTTAACGCTGGTGAATTCCACTACTCTACCAAAGAGCAATGATTAAGGACACCTCTTTTTGATTTTCAACGCTTTTAGAGTTTTTTTCACTCTTTCCAAGGCGGTTTCCACTCTTTTAGAGCGGATTTATAAGGGACTCACTCTATTTAAGAGTGATTTTTCTTTTCACTTTTTGCCTTTAGATTATATTATTTAGTTCTTTAGATGTGGCGAGAGAGTACCTTTTAAGGCAGTGTCACGTGACACACGAATGCCGGCTTCAACACTCAAAGTATACCTCTAACACAAAAACTCATCGCACGTGTAGCTTTGTACATACCTCTCAAGAGGTGGTTAGTAAGGCTAGGCAACCTGACACAAGACTTCATCAACTTAACATTTCTATCATTTGTGCGTACAACACATGCTTGCCCGTGAACTTAAACTAGCGTTCAGTCTAATCACATGTGCAGTTTTTTTAATTCTGCGGATAATGACCTTTGAAGAGTGCACATAGAGTCAGGTCATATTGTACATGAAAGCCTCAATATAACAACTTCTACAATTTTGAGTTATAACCATGCCAATTTCTGGCTACAATTGTACTTGCCTTGAATATGATATAATGTGTAGTGCTATATGTATATATAGTGTTGAGCAGTGTTGTGCTATTATAGAAGCTGAACTTTTCGATGTACATAATCACAAGTCTTGTCGTTTCTGCATTGGGTTTTATTCGAATTTTACTTCTGCAAAAAGTTTTTGGTCCCTCCTATATAGTCTATAGTTTGAGGGCGTTCTCATCCATTCAGAGTAGCTAACTGCAGGCTGAATCCTAATAAAAGGTGCATCATCCCCCCCAAAATAAAAATAAATAAATAAATAAATAAAATACATGAATAAATAAATAACAAAAACCTGCATGTGGAAATTCTCATGCAGCACGGTGTCATCTCTGTTGTGCATTGAATGATGGAGTTTAAGACTGGAAAATCATCCTTTCAAAATTCTTCTGACAAAAACTTCCGCCTTGATGACACCACCGTTTGAAACTTAAGATGAAGATCTGCGTTGTACGGCGTTACCCTAAGCTTTGGCAAGTTAAAAGAATGAATAAAACATACCAAACGTCTCTCGCTATTGTTTTTTTAGAAGAAGTTTCTGTTGTTTTCACAAATTCCCTTCGTGGTCTCTAAAGGTACTGTAATTAAACACTATAGTGTGTACAGGAATTTCACAACTGATTACCTACAATTTTTTTATCTCCCCATTTCACTTACACAACTATTACACACATGTTTGCATAGATTGTGTCTACTCGACCAAATTCGAACGGGCCGTGGAAGCAATATCGGATGCCAATATTGACATCTCCAACGTGTACGCCAATAAGGCCGTCTGGCACTTCAACGGCAATCAAATTAACGCAGGTGTGTAGTTAAGCGCCAGCCTAGAGAAATCTGGATTTTGTTTCATGATATTAGTAATTTCTTCCTACTTTCAGATAAGATACAAATTGTCATATTTCTCAAATACCCACCATTCCTGGGGGATCAAGCAATGTCCCCGGCTCATTAAGTAGTTTTGGTTGGAAAATATTGAAAGATACGATTTTTGGACCACTCAAGTTTTCACTGAGTTTCAAACGCATCTATAAAGGCCCCAAATTTAGCCTCGTACCTTAGAAAGACCATAAAAGGTTACATAGGCCTAGAGAAAATTCCGAAATCTCCCCACAAAACATTAAGCTCTTTTGAATAAAATGGTTCTGGATCCGCCCAACCCCTTTGCCGTACTGAAAGTAAACCATTAAAACTTAAATGCCATTGGGCATGCGATTTTTAAATCGTTCATTTCATCCTTATGCTTAGTAAACTTGTCAAAAAACACCAAATTCCCTCGAACTTTCCCTCAGGCAACAGAAAGATGATCGGAATCCGCAACACTCTCCTCAACACGCTAACGTCGGGCGACGAAAACGCCCCAAATTACGACACGGCCCGTCGGCTCAGTGGCCAGTTCCTTCACATGGCGCAGAGTTTCTACTCCAACACTAACTGGGTGGAGCTTACCAACCTCTTGAGGAACTCAGCAGCCGGAGAGGACGAGAATGAGGTCATGACAGCAAGATACCTGGGTATGTGAGATTGGTTTGACTAAAGGTCGCCCAGTAATGTGATCGTCCCATTTCAAACCGTAACGTTTGATGCACTAAAAGATAAATCAATGGATTGCGCCAAAAGATCAATCGCGCGATCCTCGACTGGTGGCCGAGAACACGTGGCGTTTGTGGTTGCTCCTTAAGGCACCCTCTTTGTTCAGTGAGAAATGTTGAGTTATCTAGTAAACTAAGGCCTCGCAGTGATTTCAAGTTAGAGTCTCATCCTGATTAGCACCCGCTGACTAGTGCGCGGATATAAAGGCCCATGTGCAAGCTACAGCGCAGCATGCTGCACGCTGTTGTCGCAACCGGACCGAGAAGTGTCACCGGCGTCGCCCGTCAGTTGGTCGAGGCAGAGTTTTTTTTAGAGAGAGACATGAGTGTCTGAATTAATTCTTGGAGATAAAATGGTGGCTTATCCAATTTGTAAGTGTGACGTCACTTCAGTTTGAACCACGCCCGCTGCACATAGAGTTGCATGGAACCGGAAGTGAACGCGCATATTTAGTGTTTGTTCAATGGGGAGCCTGTAATCAGTGGTGCGTACGTCCCCGTGTATGATGAAGTCACCAACGAACTGGATGGCCTTCGACACTGTTTAGTGTTTTTCTGGTTTTGTTTTACTTAGTTAAATTTTGTCCCCAGATTTTTGTATGTTTTTCTGTTGTTTTTATGACCAAATCTGGGGGAGATTTTTTTTTACCAGAAATCTCATTAAAATGGTGATATTCACAAGTATTTTGGCCATCCACACAGTAAACAATTGGCAGCATGTGTTCTCTTGACCAGTTGCAATACAGCTCCTATCAGTTTTTTTCTTACTGTTTTATCACTCACAAATGAAAGCTGAGCCATGTTGGTCATTGACACAGAGGCAATTGCAGGCATTGAGGCAAGTGCAGTGAGTGTTGTTGAACAAACACAGGAGTGTCGGGTGCCTTTTTCTCTTCAGTAATATTTGTTGTATATGAATGAGCTCTATATATTACACCGCTAGCCACGGAAACATGATTCCTCATAGAAACAGGAAATAACATGAAACTTCAACCTTATCAAAAAATGCAACTTCTCCCAACATTTAGTCATTTTTAACTTCAGAAACCCAACAAGTCATCCTAAGTTGCGTAAGCTGTAATTTGTTTTTGTACAAGCAGGCTGTGAATTACATTTCTTAAAATTTTTTTTAAAATATCAATTGCCTTCCTGGTTTATGCTCTCTTATTGAAAAATTACCCGTAAAGACCGAGGATTCTCTAATAGAGTGATTATAATAAGTACATTGTAAACCTTTTTCAACTGTTTCAAATTTCCAGGTATAATTTTAAATCCTATGTTTCCCCGAGAGAGCCCAGAGGAGGCAGACATGTGTCGCAATTGTGAACCCTTCAGTACCAATTCACTGTAAGTCCATCCACAAAAATTAGATGTTTAATCAACCTCAGTTAGTGCTGATTAATAGAATAATAGTACACTTTCGATGCACCAATAGTCAAGACTAATACAGAGTGTGTACAAATTCTGAAAAAAAGTGCTGTGTATGCAAAGAAGTTGAGTTTTTGTTGGATAAGAATCATCCCTTTTAATTGGTTCCTTCCTTCCATGCATGTTTCTTTTTCACAGCCTTGGACCACAAGATTGTTCTGACAATCTTGTTCCATTTTTGGTCTTCCTGACAAGTGGCTACAGAAGTGAGCAAGATGTCCTCAAACCAGGTGAAATTTGTCGTTTAAGTTACATTCATCCAAGTATCTTGAATCACACATGTTACTTGTTGGGAAGCAACTTTAATAACCCTAAAAGAGAAGGCCAAGATCACCCCCAGCCAATGATACATGAAGCGGCTTCAGTTCCATCCCCACAACTTCTTGGCTGTCCTGCCCTCATTTAGCATGCATTAAAGGCGCTCGTTCGTATAAGTGTAAACTTCATATTGACCTGACACAACTGTTTTTTACACAGTCATTTAGAGTTCAAAGCCACATTGTGTCAGCCTGCTTACGTTGAACCCATTCTTCAAAAGTACACAATTTGCATCAACCTGTCTTGGAATAATGGGCGCGGCATAAGAATATATGTCCAATTTTTACCGACTAACTCCTGAAGGCTTGGTGCATGAAACAGTGCTCCGTAATCAAGATATGAGATAAATGTTGTTAGGAATGCAGAGGCCGCCCATGCTCTTTGAGGGTTACGTCCAACACTATAATTGTGTTCTAAACTGAAGGGGCAACCCTTGTGGCTCAGATTGGCAGACCTCCTGGTGTCCTTTTAATGAGTGGCCAGATTCAACTTTATTGCATTGTGGTCCAGCCTTCAAGTGAGTCATGATTCTACATGTTGGATGTCTTGGCTTTGCTTTGCCATATTTTAACAGGTTCTGGTTCATCATTTCAATTGGTGATGTCCCACTAATTTTAAAGTCATTTTTAAGTCCGATATGAATGACATCACGAGGCATATGAATTAGGTTGTCCACAGTCAATTAATTTCACACTCGGTACCTTGAAGTTTGAAATGCTAAATCACAATGCTTGAATGAATGAACTGTCACGTTTCAACACTGAATCATGATGCTTGCAATCCTGAAGCAAATAGTCTCCTTGGTAGTTTAAGTTATCTTCTGATACAATTGCTTTACCTCAACCCTTGAAATTGTGCCTTTGTGCACCCTTTTGGCTCAAATTACCTTTTTTTGTAATTTGTCTAATTTATTCTGCATTTTGGAGCCTTTGGGACTTTATGCTAAGGAAAATTTGCATATTTATGAGCAGAACAGTGATGTCATCGCAGGCACTGAGCTTAATACTGTGACGAAACACGGGTAGGCATGGATGCCAGTCTAAGTTATTAATTATTAATGCATGCATTGACCAATCAGCGG